ATGTGTAAGTGTTTTAAACCCTTCCCTCACTATTGCAATATTCTAAACAATGTTTCTAAACTCTAAACATGCTAAAAGAGCACAGAATGTCATGATTTCCCTCTCTTTGCCTCCTCTGCTCTCAGCCACCTGCAAGCGTTAATGGCCACGCCCACTTCTACGCTTTGCACATAGAACAACTGCAGCAGGAACCTTATCCTGTAGTGTGGGCTGCACAAAGGTGCATCAGGTGCTAAATAATTTTAAATAATTTATTTTAAATAAAAATTCCATGCCGATCATGTGGCTCATCCATCAATCAGCTAATTGTGTGTCATGTCCAATCTTACTTTGAAAAACCGTGATAGAGGGAGTCTGCGAAAAATGAACCACAAAGTAGCAAGGGATTACTGTACTCCTGTTTCCTTCCACAGACAAAAAACATGCATGTTAGGCTGATTAGTATGTAGATGAACAGATGCTGGGATATATTCATCATTTAACGCGAGTTCCTCATTTTTCTGGACTGAATAAAACGTGCATTGAATTTAAGGAAATGCAAACGTGAGACGTCATTTATATTTGACCCATCAAAATGAATGCGGTCATTTATTTACAGAATCAAATTTAACATCAAACATTTACATTAATTTGGCAAATTATGAAAATAACAATAAAGCAATCAATCAGGAAAAATCATACGGCCATGATTTTTCCGTTGCTGCACCACAGACATTTATAAAACTGTACAACTATGATCTTTTGCCCACATGAATGTGGGTGAGCATTTTACACAGACATTTCTAAATATCTGGAAGAATTTCTACTTGATAGAAAAGTTTAAAGATGGGAAGAAGTTTAGAGGGAGTTAAGATTGAATGGGAGGGGAGGAATGTTCGCCAGAACCGACACTCTCCATCAGAAGCCCAGCTCGCCTCGGTACGCTTGGTAGGAAACTTGACCCATTACCTCTCTGATGATAATCAGCAGATATGGTGTTCCGTTAACGCTACCGGTCCAGCGTCTCCTTAGAATGGCTGTTGCCCGTCAGAAGTAGTGGCGCTAATTGATTTTCATGTTGGCATGTGTTATAAAATAACAGTTGAACCGTGCGTCTTTACGCAGCCGGAGCTGCGCGCTTGGAGCTGCACCGCCTGAAGCGAAATGCTGCATGTTTTTAAGCGTGTTGGTCTGTGATGCTCAGAAAGCTCACAGAGAAGCTGAAATTGAGTCACAAGTCTTTATAAAGCTGAATTGTACGTCTGTATGTGTAA